ATAAAATTGGAATGTCTGTTTGTAATATTAAAATAACCGCTTTTTACTACATGCTGTATGTGTGTATGTAGCTGATGTAATAAGGAAGTAACTTAGGCTACTTTTATTTTAGAAAAATAAAGTTTCCAATTCCACGCGGACGTAGTCACTGGTACAGTTAGTTATACATATAAACCTTCCTCTTGAATCTCTATCCGAAAAAAACCGTTGCGTAGTTTTAAAGATTTAAGCATACATAGGGACGGACACACAACGATAGCGACTTTGTTCTATACTATGTAATGATGATGAAAATTTTCAAGATAAGATAAGGGTTAATTTGAAAAATCACGTAAGTATAATTATCCAAGATTGTACTGGCGAATGGTAGATAAATTGACGTCTGATAAAAATGTAATTACATGAGTATGTCCCTGAGCGGGGAGGCTGGAACTGAATGCAGGGCACACGGTGGCGCCAACCGACCGCCCGCCACCGCGCCACCCCGTCACACCGAACTGAACACCCGCTGTCTCAACGTCACGTAAAGAAGCCCATACACGAGGCGAAATACATAACGATCGTTTAATTTTCAATTCAACTTAGGTAACTATTGTTGATTATTAGTAGTAGTATAGTAAATTACAAAATTTTGTACATAAAATATACAAAATTTCGTAATTTCATCAATCATACGTGAAGCAAAACTTTGTACCCGCGCGGACGGAGGAGTATGAAATTTCGCACACTTATAGTATAAACTATACATGTTTATACTATAAGTGTGCGAAATTAAATTTATAAAAAAACATCACATACACTAACATGTATTTGACACAAAAACGCATACGTTCGTTGTTATTGTTGTCAAAGTATTACCACATTTATTCATTATTATTGAGTTCCCGATATTTGGGGAGTGTTTCATCCGCATGATCATGATTAGGGGTAAACTTTTAAACAGTTTTCCCGTGATGATGGCAAGGGTAGATCCCGTGATTTTTCCTAATTGTACGTAAATTAATTCGACTGACCCTGACACTCGTACTACAGCGCGTGAGCATCACACATTCTCCCAGAACATGGAAAATCATACAATGATATTTTACGGGTGTGACTAACTTAAATCTAGAGATAGATGTCCAGTAATATATACGTAAGTGGCAATCAAGCATACGGCTCATCTGATGTTAAACGGTTACCGTAGCCTATGGACGCTTGAAACAAGGGTCAAATGCGCGTTGCCAGAGTTGCCGGCCCTTAAGAAACCTTATATACTCTTCTTGAAAAACCCCATGCTGTAGTCTCTCGAGAAAACCTCCGCAGATATTTATTAACATGCTTCTATTATCAACACGTTTTATATAGTTTTAATTCGATCTACCTTCTTTTGCGATAATATGAGTATATAGAAATAGAAACATTTGGCAGGTAGTTAGTTCCACAATCTAAGTGTACGCGGGAGGAAGCTCCTCTGAAACCGCACTGTCCGAGACCACTTAAGTTCCAGCGTATGGGATGAATTCCCTGTCGATGGCGAGCGGTGCGATGGTAAAAGGTAGCTGTAGGCATCATCTATACATATAAATAAAACTGGAGTGTCTGTTTGTAATATTGAAATAACTGTTTTTTACTACATGCATATGAATATAAATACGGTACATACACCAAGATAATGTTTTTTACAATTTTTGTCTATCTGTCTGCCTGTTTGTACCGGCTAATCTCTGAAATGGCTGTACCAATTTAGACGGGACTGTTTTTAGTAGGTAGCTGATGTAATAAGGAGTAACTTAGGCTACTGTTATTGTAGAAAAAATCTTTTATTTTAGAAAAATAAAGTTAAATCCCACGCGGACGAAGTCGCGGGAACAGCTAGTATAGTTATTCACAAACACTATTTTTAAAATGACAAATCGTACCGTGTATGTATAACCTAAACTGACTAGTACACGTGACGTAGTCTGTCTCGCCGGTTGTGTGACGCATCCCGTATTTATGGCGAGACACTGAACGTCGCCGACTTTCCAGATGGAAAGCTTGTTAAATTTTTTTAAACAAGCCACTATTTACAATTACGTAAATAAAGTACTGAGTTTGCTTTATAATAGTATGAGTACCTATACTGATTCATATTCAAAATGATGATCTTGGTGGTTGCGGGTTCGATTCCTCGCATGACACGAACATGTATTTATAAGTATTATTGTTTGTATCGCTCTAGGTGTTTTCTATGTATATTATGGAAAATCAGTTGTTTAGTACCCATAACGCGAGCACTGCTTGGGACTAGATAGTGTTGTGAATTGTCCGAGGATATTATTATTATAATTAAAACAAAATTCTATTGGATTGTTATTTTATACCTCTTCATAGTCGTTTTCATACACTTGTAGGAATTAGGCATTTCACCACTACAAATTTCGCTGAGCACGTTTATAAATTCTGAACGTCTGATTTCCTACAGTTAACTCTTTAAACGTATTTAAAACAGCTGTCCATTGTCAAACAGTCATCAATCAAATTTTTGACAATACAATATCGGGAATAAAAAGAAAATTGCCGTAGTATTCATTAGAAAAAAAAATATATAAGAAATTAGTACTGAAGACAATGGCTGTATGGGCTGAGTCCTTTTGCCTTTCTCTAAAAAGGGGAAAAAACCGAACCAAAAAAAAATTGCCGTAGTAGTGTAAAAAAAAATCCTCAATAAAATATTTTTTTACTAGTTAATGGGTAAAAGTTGTCGTTTTATATTTTGTAGTCGACGGTACTTAATAAATTAAAAATTAATAAACTTATCCTAATTATCACATGATTGATTCACATGATTGATCATATGATTACAAATAGTTCTTAGAATTATTTTATTTAAATTACCCATTACATCAAATATTATTTTATTAGCGTGTAACACTGTGAACGAATGAAATACTAAACTTTTTCAAATTCAAATTCAAAAATCATTTATTCATGTAGGACATTTTAGCCGCTTATGAACGTCAAATTTTTACATTATAATTTTATTTTTTTCCCTACCGTCCAGTTCGGTATATAGATCTAATTGAGAAGAACTGGCAAGAAACTCAATTGAATTACTTTTTTTTTAAAGCCAGTTTATTTACAATGTATATTTATATAGGTGTCTATGTCTAACATTAAATGAAAATTCAGTGCATGAACAACTATTGTCATGCACACTCGTCATTCAAGTAATCGTTTAGTGAGTAATAGGCTTTGCTCAGTAAATATGATTTAACAGATGTTTTGAATTTATTTAAGGGTAATTCCAACATATCCTTTGGTATCTTATTGTAAATTTTTATACCTATTCCCATAAAAGACCTATTAACTTTTTCTAAACGATACTTGGGGAAAGAAAAATCAAAAAACTTCATTTTGGTAAACGCGATCTGTATAACGCTGGTGAATTCCATTTAAAGTAAAACGAGATCAACGTCGTTCTTTTTTTCGAGTTCACGCTGAACTCCGTTTCCTTGAACGTGTTTATACTACGATTGGTGAAATCCAGCCTAAGTGGTCTACAGGTTTGCACACCGCTTTACTTCCGATGGTCGCCGGTTCCTTGCGTGGTACAAACATTTTTATTGATAAGTATGTTTGTTAGTATTAGTTTGGCTGTTTCCTATGTAAATCTAAAGAGTGGAACACACTTCCAGCTTTTGTGTTCCCGGAGAAATACAACCCAGGATTCTTCAAATCTATGGTGAATAGATATCTTCTGGGTAAGCGCACTACATCCTAGGTCTTGCCATCATTTACCATCAGATGAGGTAAGACAAAGCGCAATCCCATTATTAATAAAAAAAAATTATATAAATGTTTTTTTTTTTAATCTAAGAATGTACATCAGTTGTCTTCTACCCATAACGCAAGCTAACACCAATTTAGGACCTAGATGGCGCTGCGTGAACTATCCAAGGATATTCTTACTACATACTCTTTTCTAGATATCGACCAGTTTTGTTAATCGGTATCGTATGACGTCACTGATAACTGTGACGTAACACAGCGGTTATCTATTACCAATAGTTAGAAATTCATAACACTGATAAGTGGATATTGAAATTAAAGTGAAGAATATCAAATCTATACATATAAATAAAACTGGAGTGTCTGTTTGTAATATTGAAATAACCGTTTTTTACTACATGCATACAAATATAAATACGGTACATATACCAAAATAACATTTTTTATAATTTATATGTCTGTTTATTTCTTCCGGCTAATCTCTGAAACGGCTGGACCGATTTTGACGGAACTTTTTTTAGCAGGTAGCTGATGTAATAAGGAGTAACTTAGGCTACTTTTATATTAGAAAATATAGTTAAATTCACGCGGAAGAGGTCGCGTGTACAACTAGTAATAAATAAGATTAGTAGGTACACATTGCTCACGGCGTGTGTACTGCACAAGGTCACCTGTTTATTAGATACAAAAAATAAGTGATAAACAGAGGAGTGGTTTGTTTATCAGTTTCAATATATATTTTTCTGTCTTATTATGTTCAAATGGTTTATATTAACTGGCTGACAAATGTTGTTTTGTTATATTGTTAAACCTACTGGCAATTTTACATATTATTATATCCACATTCAAAATAGAGATGTGTCAACTCGGGTTGGATGAATTCAGCTGGCAAATGAACGTATAAAGTGAAAGAGCGAGAGCATGATTCTGTCGTCGAACCGACAATGACATCAAAATTTTCCGATCATTTGATTTCCACTCGTCTCAATATTGGTTTGAGGTCGTTATAATTTTTTTTGGTTGGTTATGTTATCATTCCGTAAGTTCTTCCGCGGCTTTAAAGTGCCATTTCTACTCGCCCCTATGGTTCGGTGAAGCTTTCAAGACTTGTTCGAAAAAAAAAACTGTTTGCTCCAGGTAACTCGAGTCAACTCGAGTGATTGACACTATCAATGGGGTTATTAGTCCACATTGCTAACAATCTCCTTGCTATCAATGGTGTACTGTTTAGATGAGATGGTACATACCCTGGAGTCGTAGACCCTGGTGAGCGCGTCGTACCGTATGGAGCCGAGGAAGATGACAGCCTGAGCGGAGCCCGCGCCCCCGCGTCCCCGCGCCACCAGCTCCACGCACACCATCTCACCGTCGCGTACCACGATGTCGCAGAACACCTGCAGCCAATTAAAAAAAAATAGCCTTCATCTTGTCTTCTGCTCTTAGAAATAGAAATAGAAATAATCTTTATTCAAATAAACTCATTACAAGCGCTTTTGAATAGTCATATTTTTTATTCTACCACTCATTCGGAACGCAGACTCATCACAAGAAGAATGAGCAAGAAACTTGTGTGTTGCTCTTTTGAATAGTTTTTTTTTATATTTAGTAGAGTATTTTGTAAAGCAAATTGATGGTAAACGGAAACCTTCGTCTATATTCATTGACAGCTGCGATACCACACAAAACAATCGATCCCCGTCTAATTGAAACGGGGATCGAAATTACGACGGCCTGAGCCGAGAACATCTGGCGGTGCCCTCAGACTAATGTCGTATCCAGCAGGCGGGAGTTGGCCTTCAGCCGCTCCATAAGTCCTTCCTTTGATTTGGAGTGCCATCTGCACTCGCCTCCTATCGTCCGGTGAAGCTGTAAAGGTCAGTTGCGGGCAACAGCATGAGAGTAGTCCAAAAAAGTTTTGTTTGGAGTGCCATCTGCACTCGCCCCCTATCGTCCGGTGAAGCTGTAAAGGCCAGCTGCGGCCAACAGCATTAGAATAGTCAAAAATATTTTTCAAGATGTTTTGTCATTCTAGAGGACTATGTAATTTGACGACCTCAATTGTTTGGGAGTTTAGTACACCACCTTCCTTCCGATGGTTGCTTGTTCGATTCCTCTCACGGTACAAACATTTGTATTTATGAGTCTGATTGTCTGTATCGGTCTGGGTGTTTTTTCTGCATATTTGCAAAAAAATGAGTCTAAGTATTTATATCAGTTCTAGTACCCATAACACAAGATCTATTTAGCTTGAGACTAGATGACGCTGTGTGAATTGTCCAAGTTTATTATTGTAATGTATTTATCCCAAATATTATTTTTAAAGAGACTCCCAAAGGACCCGCAATGGTATTCTCTAAGCTCTTTATAAACTGATTTTACTCATCGCTTCACTCAAGACACTCGTATTTATTTCCAAATATAAATTCCTACTGAGCTATCGAGTCTGCCTCTAACCAGCTCTCGAGCGTGTGGCGCTGCAGTCGCTGTCGAGTTTACAGAAAACCAATGTACAATCTCACATCAGATTCCTCTTTTAAATTCGTTAAGTGATTTTTACAGAGCTCTATTGGTCCTAGATAGATAGACATTATTACTGTCTAATTTTCTACAATACCAACTTGCAATTTTTTAACTGCCATGGTAGATAAATTCAAATTCAAATTCAAATTAAAAAATCATTTATTCATATAGGACATTTTAGCCGCTTATGAACGTCAAATTTTTACATTATAATTTTATTTTTTCCCTACCGTCCAGTTCGGTATATAGATCCAATTGAGAAGAACTGGCAAGAAACTCAATTGAATTACTTTTTTTTAAAGCCAGTTTATTTACAATGTATTTTTATATAGGTGTCTATGTCTAACATTAAATGAAAATTCAGTGCATGAACAACTATTGCCATGCACACTCGTCATTCAAGTAATCGTTTAGTGAGTAATAGGCTTTGCTCAGTAAATATGATTTAACAGATGTTTTGAATTTATTTAAGGGTAATTCCAACATATCCTTTGGTATCTTATTGTAAATTTTTATAAGTCATATTAGCGACTGGAAAGGTCGAAAATCCCGCAACAATTCCAAACAAAAAAAGTTATCGACAGCAAACACTCAGGTGCAGGTGACTGCACTGCGATATCTTGCGATAACAATCCTTATCAGTTGACCTGCCACTCCACTTCTTCGCAATCCCAAGCCATTTTGGGTTCGATAAATCGAACAATAGCTATTGTTTGGTTACGAAATAATAACTGTTAGGTAATATACTCGTATTTATTTTAATAAACTCGTATTGGCTATTTCTAAAAGATTAAGATTATCAATTATACCCTACTATTTGTGACCGCAAATAGCCATATAATTCATTTAAAAATCATTACTATTAAATAAAACAAAGTCACTGTCGCTGTGTCCCTATGTATGCTTAAATCTTTAAAACTACGCAATGGATTTTGAAACGGTTTTTTTAATAGATAGAGTGATTCCAGAGGAAGGTTTATATGTATAATACATGTATATTTTGGTCAATCAAAACCAAATTATCAAAACCAATATCGTTTTCCCCGTTTTAGCAACATTTATCACTATTGCTTCGCTTCTATTGGTCGTAGCGTAATGTTATATAGATTAAAGCCTTCCTCGACAAATGGGCTATCCAACACAAAAAGAATTTTTCAATTCGAGCCAGTAGTTCCTGAGATTATTTGAAAAATGTATCATTACATAGTATAAAACACAGTCGCTGTCGCTGTCTGTCCCTATGTATGCTTAAATCTTTAAATCTACGCAACGGATTTTGAAGCAGTTTTTTTAATAGATAGAGTGATTCAAGAGGAAGGTTTTTATGTATAATACATGTACAATAAAGCAAAGCCGGGGCGAGTAGCTAGTTTTATTATTTGAAAAGAATACGATCTGAGTTTCTTGTCAGTTCTTCTCATCTCGAAATCATTCCGAACTGACGGTAAATTTGACATATCATAAGAGTCTGTAATAGACTTGAATAAAGATATTATGAATTTGAATTAGCACTTTCAAACAAACAAACTCTTAATATTAGTATAGATAATGTGTAGCGTCGCAATGTCATTACCAAATACAAACTGCAGAGTCACGTGAAATATTGCGCAGTTATATATTTGTAAAGAACTTAAGTACAATATCATTTACTACCGTCTGTATTTTATCTACGGTACACCAGATTTTAATATTCCTAAAATACGGAATAACAAAACTGAGAGGAACTTATCTTTATATAGTCATCATCATTACATAGTATAAAACTCGCTGTCGCTGTCTGTACCTATGTATGCTTAAATCTTTAAAACTACGCAACGGATTTTGATGCGGTTTGTTTAATAGATAGAGTGATTCAAGAGGAAGGTTTATATATATAATACATGTACACCCGAGCGAAGAAGGGGCGAGTAGCTAGTATGGTATACAACAAAGTCGGTACCGCTGTTCATTTGCTTATATATTTTATATTACGCAACGGATTTTAAAGCAGTTTTCAGCAATAGATAGAGTGATTCAAGAAGAAGGTTTATATATATAATACATGCGAGTTAGAACAATATAATAATTTAAAGATGTGCAGACTTATTTTTATACTAGCTGTTCTCGCGACTTCGTCCGAGTGGAATTTAACTTTATTTTTCGAAAATAAAAGTAGCCTAAATTATCATATAAGAGCAATTTTTCCTTATTCATATAAAAGAATATATTCCTAGCCCAGTAACCAGCACCTATCTGGTACGTGACGTAGAAAATAGTGATTTATGAGTAACTTGATAAACACAGTAATTACTGTCCACAGATAACTAATAATTTCTGATTATATTAGGATTATATCAATATTGACGATCTCGATGGTCTAGCGGTCCAGCACACCGCTTTACGACCGATGGTCGCGGGTTTGATTCCTCGCACGGCACAAACATTTGTATTCATGAGTATGATTGTTTGTATCGGTCTGGGTGTTTTCTATGTATAATATGTATGTATTTACAAAAAAAAATTATGTATATGTATCAGTTATCTAGTACCCATAACACAAGCTTTAGCTAGCTTAACTTGGGTCTAGATGGCGCTGTGTGAATTGTCCTGAGACGATTATTATTATTATATATATGCGATTGATACTGTCACATGATATTTAATATATGTATGTGGGGGGAAAGGGAACTGTTAGTAATGTGGACTGATGAGCTTATTGCTAGCAATGTACCATGTCAGGTCGACCTCCACACGGTTCCCCCTAGAAACCATTATGATAAATTCTTCGTGAATTTGTCACAATGGGCTGATCTGACCTCATACTTATCTTATCATCAATGTAGTAAAAACTGTTATATGTATAGATTAGTTAAGGGTAACTAATATATCCGTTGCGTATACCTGGGTCACATAATGCAGAATGAAAAATACAGTCTTCTGCAATTGAAATAGAAATAGAAATAGGTTTGGGATGAGCACCAGGTCCCTTTTCAGGACCGCCGCGGACAAAGTAAAGATCGCCATAATGATCCCCAACCTCCGATAGGAGATGGCACCTAAAGAAGAAGCTAATATATTAACAAAGTAACTCTGTAGGTGTCGCTTCAAAATCCGTTGAAGTAGTAATGTGGACTGATGACCCTTGTCGACCTCCACGCGGTTCCCTCTGGAAACCATCGTGATAAATTTGTCACGATGGACTAACTGATCTGACTTTATGTTCATTCTATCATCCTCCACTGGTGCCCCACCAGCGTAAACCGTTAGCGCAGGCGGGTGCACCATTCCATTACAATCCTCTAAAAAAAAACTCTGTAGGTGTGTGCAAAATGAACGTATCTATGTAATATGAACACTATTCTCAACTGACAATTGACAATTGATATCCGTGTCAAAGAGAATGTATTGAGTAATGAAACCGTACAAGTTGACAAGGTTTCATTAATTGCCAATTGACTGAACTGATATTGAAAGAAAGAAAGAAAGAAAGAAAGAAAGAAAGAAAGAAAGAAAGAAAGAAAGAAAGAAAGAAAGAAAGAAAGAAAGAAAGAAAGAAAGAAAGAAAGAAAGAAAGAAAGAAAGAAAGAAAGAAAGAAAGAAAGAAAGAAAGAAAGAAAGAAAGAAAGAAAGAAAGAAAGAAAGAAAGAAAGAAAGAAAGAAAGAAAGAAAGAAAGAAAGAAAGAAAGAAAGAAAGAAAGAAAGAAAGAAAGAAAGAAAGAAAGAAAGAAAGAAAGAAAGAAAGAAAGAAAGAAAGAAAGAAAGAAAGAAAGAAAGAAAGAAAGAAAGAAAGAAAGAAAGAAAGAAAGAAAGAAAGAAAGAAAGAAAGAAAGAAAGAAAGAAAGAAAGAAAGAAAGAAAGAAAGAAAGAAAGAAAGAAAGAAAGAAAGAAAGAAAGA